CTAAGCGAAAAGCCGTCAAACCGTCTGACCACGAAAAATCTGCAACGAGACGTTGCATCGCTAATTCTAACCGCCTTGGGTAGGCTACCGTGTTGGTAACGAGGTGCATAAATCAGATGCCGTAACTTCTATACCGTCGTGTATAAATATAAAAAAACCAAGAGAAGGAAAGGCTCGTCGGAGGAGTATAAGTCGTCCGCGATTCGCTCGTAAACGGACGATCCGTGCAAATTCGATTCTCGTTAGCGGCCTGTCACGAGTCTACGTACTAATTTTCATTCCACATTGCATTATTCATTGTATGCAAAAAAAGGAATCGCGCTATTTTTGTATTTTTTTTTCGTAACTCGGCGTTTAACGATTTTAACGATGCCACGCGTGTCTATTAAGAAATTGTCCAGAGAGAGAGAGAGGGGGAGAGAGAGAGAGAGAAAGAGAGAATCTTCTGACGGCCGTTTGTCGTCATAAACGTCAGGGAGAGGATTTCAGGTTCCAATCGTCCTTTTTTTTTCATCTTTTCGCCTCCCTAAATCGACGACGTATATCAGCGGTAGAAAAGCAGCAGCCAGGTGTGCGTGCTAGAGAACGGGTCGTCGACACTCGCGCGCACACACGAAACACACGAAAAAAAGGGGGAAGAGAGAAAACGACTGCAGAATGGGGGGAGGGAGAGGGCAACGCGCAGCACCCACTTTTTCAGGGGCTTATAATGTGTGCACCCCACAGGCGGTAAGTAGCGTAATTAAGTCTTGAGGATGATGCCCCATGTGTGCCGCGCGCGATCTACAGATACTGCCAGGGCTATAGATGTTATCAGACACTGTGTTTTGTCACCTTGCGCGTGGATAAGAAAGACAAACATCAAATCGCGCGCTCATTGTGCGAATGCTCGCTAGCGGAGACACCTTGAATTAACTATTCCAGCTAATTAATTTTCAATAGCCTTTTTTATTTGAGCCTCGGATAATTTCGTTACGTTCGCGTTCTTTGACGATCAATACGCGAGGCGCACATTCAGCGCAGAGCATCAATTGAATTTCTATAGAACAAAATCAGCCACGATAAGAATGTCATTAACACGAGCCTGGAAAAATCATTGCTCATCGGAGTTAGTATTACGCCGTGCCTCAAACACGATAGACAAACTTTAGTTGCTGTACTGAGGCGTAACGTAAAAATGTCTATTAATCCCAGATCGCCGAGCGCTCGGACGAAAAAAAATAAAGAAAGTAGAATTTTGCAAGTGCGCGTTGAAGAAAAAAAAAGTGAAGAGAGAACGTCGCGCGGAGCGGAGACGTGAGAATGATCGATGAGCAAGCGAAACGTCGTGTATATATACACGTCTAGCCGCATTTGGCAAATAGCCAGAGAAGAGGAGCTTCGCCGAGTGACGCGGTGATGGCGGCGTTTGCGCGCACGATCGTTTCCATAAAGAGTATCTCTCAGGTAATTGGCCGTGAAACGACGATGCCGCAAAAACTCATAAATGATAAATTCGCTTTCTTCGCTGAAATTGCCAAAAGAAAAATAATAATAATAAAAAACATTCGATGTACGAAATCTCGATCGCATTGATGTACGTGTATGGCTTTTGACGGGTTCCAATTAGTATGAATGTGCGTCTGCACGCAGCGAATTTCGATACTCTGTTCAAAATTCGGCTTTTCAACATTTTTTTTTTGCATGTGCGCGCGAATCGAATACGCGAGGGCAGCTAATTGGCCGGCTCTTTTTTTTGACTCTCATCCTTCATTGAGACGTGCATCTTTTTCATGATTTTTTTCAGGGTATATTCGACTATACTTTTACACGCGTGAATATTAATTGATCGAATTGAACGCCGGCTGGAATTGAAAAATGAAATTGAACGAATTTTCCCGATTATTAATCGCGGAATTGGGTAAGCGTTCACGGGAGTTTGGATACGCAAGAGGAAAAGAAAAGTATTGCCTCGCACAAGAAGACGTTGGTCCCGAACATCAGTGCTTGGGCCTGGCAGAAGCTCCGACTTCAAGTTAAAGCCACGTGTGAGGATTATCGGACGTGTTATCAAATTAGCAAATAATCGACGTCAGAAATGATAATAAATCGTCTGAAGGAATTTTTTGACATTGTCGCACCACTGTTCGAGGGAGTGTAGACGCGTACTTTGCATATACTAATGAAGAAGAAAAGTTGAATATGATTGGCAAACCGATGCTTATCAGTGATCTATCGGTTTGCGCTTTTATTGTTACTCAGCCGATTGACTCGCTATACGACGGGCGCGCGCGCGCGCGGGTGTGTGTGTATGTAAGAATCTTTATGCCAAATAGTAAGCGTATTGTACAAACAGTTACGCGGGGATTTCCGATCTGGGTCATTCAAACTTTTACTTTTTCTTCTTCTGAAAATATCATTTATCAAAAGTTGTCTCTCCGACGTCGCTCGCGATTGAGATTGACGGATCGGCCGAATTTCCGAATGAAAAATTCGCCAAAAACTTTCCAATCACGCGTCGCGCGCCAGATTAACCTTGGCGATATGCGGCGCCAGCGCGAAGAAAAAAAAGGAGAAGCCACGCGTGCGTATCCTACCGAGAAAGAATACACTTAGGACGTGCCAAAACGGCGATAAGCGGCGCGATACGCGCGAAATAAAAGAATGGGGAAAAAAAGAGGCACGTCCCTCGTTAGCATGCGCGCGTCGCGCAAACCTCGGGCGGAGGCGCCGCCACGCCCGGTCTTCTTTATTTATTTTTTTTTTTTTTTTCTCTTTTCGGACGGCGACAGCGCCAACGGGTACCGGGTAATGAGCCGAGCCGGCGACGAGGAGACGAGCTCGACAATCGACAGACAGAGGATGCGTATAGGCGCTCCTTTGCCACGCTAACTGCCGCTTTGAATCCGTCACAAGCGACTCGGTGCTTTCGATGTGGACGGTTAATTAGCGAAAGCGACTGCGTTTGGCCAGCGAGTCACGCAGGTCTTTCGGTCATTGTATTTATTCTAATTTATTTCGCGAAATGACGCAGCCTCCAATCATTGTACTCGAGTCAGAAGATCAATAAATCGCCAGTGTCTTTTTTGACGTACAGTACTATTGCGCTCCGAAGGAAACTTAGCGTGCGTTACATAATTGGATCATGTAACGTCGTATAAATGCAACACGACTTATTTTTATAATATACATTCCGCGACGGCAAACGCGGACGAGCGAATTCATCAATATCTACGATGTAAATCAGAGGCTTTTATTACAAGAAGAGCCGCGCGATTGCCATTCTGTTCGCGCGCAGAAAAAAGAAGATAATATGCACACACGCACACTTGCCGTCTTCGCTATTGAATTATGGATTGTACCTTCTGCGGTTTATCCGCGGCTCCCGAAAAATTTGTTCACTTTACGCAATAAAGAGCTTTTTTTAATTGGCGGACAATTTACCTTTGTTACGTGCGCTGCACCTGTCGCTTACGTATGTAACATGCTTGACTAATAATCTGTAATCGATCAATTGTGCCCGTGTCTACTAAACGACACTATTTTTATCGCTTTTGAGGAAATTTTCAGCCGATTTTTATAATCGTCTCGCACGTGCCCACGAGCTTGCCGCGTGCGCGTGTACATAGCGTTGCAAATTTCTCACTCCGGAGCGAGCGCCCCAATACCAAGTGTTCTTGTCGAGAGAAAGCTCATTACGCATTAGACGATTGGCGTTACTTATAGTTCGATTCTCGCTTCTTCGATCAGACCAATTTTTATCGACTTTCTGTTTGGCGGTCGTATCGATATGGATTCATTCATCACGGGATGAATGCTTCGTCACACCGATCGTGTTCTTGCTTTCCGACGAAATGCTCGTTTTACGCGAGATTATTAATTTGAATATAATGCCATTCAACCAAGTTTTTCGAAATGCAAAAAATAAATCAGTTCCTTCAAATTTAATTATCATGTTTCTTTGATACAGACTGTTTAAACGAAAAAGAAAATGAATCACAAAATCAAAGCAAAATCGCGTCATATTCATCCAACCAATCACTCTCGAACGATTTGAATAAAAAAAATCCCTCGGTCCTCAAACACGTAGTCATATAGGCAGGCCACCCTCGCGAAAGGACGTTTTTGCACACGGAATATTTATTGGCTCTCAAATGAATATTGGAGGGGAAAAATGCAGGCAGTGCATTTGCTACGATCGCGCTCTTAGTTTCAAGTAGCGGTGCGTAAAAATGGCGCCTCGAAAAAAAGAAAAAAACGCGAAACGATGTTCTTGGCTTTGCGTGTATTCTACTTCGCGTGATTCGAAATAAGCGTGGACTGGATGATGATACAATGCATAGAATGTGATTATACGACAGGCGGAGACGATGTAAGCGCACCTTGCGTCGTAGTTCGCGAGTCTCCGGCATTGTTTTCATCTTCCTCGTGGATAATATATTCGACGGACTTTGAGATTTTGCCGAGCGAGTTGAACGTGACTGGCGCGCGTCAAATGTAATTTCAGTTGTATAGGCACGGGTGACAAATGTGACCCGCCCCGAAAAAGAAAAGTGCGCATCCCCGGCAGCATTCGTATATATGGATCAGCGTCGAACAAAGGAAACACATATAGCCAATGACAAAACACTTGCGGCTCCACACGTACAGGCACACTCGAGCGCATACACACTTGACTCGTCGATTTTTCGTGTCTGTGCATCTCTTTAAGCGCGCACGTGCGACGACGACGAGTCACGAGGGATAGTCTTTTGGTGTCGTTAATTTGATATGTGAATATGGTATGTTTGAAATGAAAAGAGGCAAGAGATCAATTTGCAATATTACTAATCGTTTAATTTGCTTTTTCACTTTTGTGTTTTTCTTTCGTAATCTCGCCGGTTAAGAGCACTGCAGTGACAAGTAATGACAGCATGTAAAGGAATTACTTAATATAATTGGAGAAATAGAGATGGAGAGAGCGTCTATACGTAGACTGAAAAATTTCAAAGCGAAATTCGTGCAATCGACGCCTTTCTCGTATTTTTCAACATCTATACGATCATATTTGTTTACTGGTTATTTACAAGGGTATATTTTCGCATTGTGTGAAGTGTGTTTGTAACAAAAAAAGAGACGAAAGAAAAGTATACTTGAACGTGCATAATATAGCTTACTTGTTTTGTCTTTTATATGAGGAGTGCATGTTACATGTAATGTTTTACATTGTTACGCTAATTCGACGTAAAATCTAAGTCCTTAACAATGCGATCGTCTATAATATTTATATAATTTGCATACTCGCACACTCGCGGTTTGAGAATACAAATAGTACACATATATAATATATATGAGTTTCGTTTATATATAAATATTTATAAATATATGGAAGTATATACGCAGAGAATTGATTTTTTGCTTTTCTTGCTGTTATTCTATGCTTGCTTGTTAATCTAAAATATCGTTATTCGAAAGAAGAAAGGAAAATGAAAAAAAGATTTATATACACTCGGTATTTGTGGATAATATACACATGTATTTACGCATTGTGATCTTTATTTTTTCCTTTACTTATACATTAATATATAGATAACTATTTACAATCGTATACGTAATTTTTGTTTAGTTGCGCGAACGCACAAAAAGATAATCGACGATAATGTATATATTTTGTATGTCTCGCGCGACAAACGTTCGTTTATATCACAGTGGTTATTTGAGGAGATTAACGAGTCTACCCGTATATACTCGTCAACGAATCACTGAGCTTTAGCATTTCAAAAAATTGCGATGGAACTTCAAGATATAAAGTTGCTTGATTTCAGATCAACGTCTATTTGCTTGTCAAAGCCAATCCACCTCAAATGTTGATAAAGGCGTGCAATTATCGCAGCTTCGAACGCATAGCATTGGTCTAAATAAAGGCCATGTACTGTGGTTTTTTTTTTTTCAAATCAATCAGGGCTCAAACGTTCGTTAATCCAAAATCTAGCAACTTTCATCTCGATTTCAATCGTTATCGTGTCTGCTTAACTATTTTTTTTCGTATACATGTTAAAACGCACAAATGAATTAAAACGTTTCGGCAGCAAACCATTTTAATTCACCTCTACGGTATTGCCGCATTGGTCCAGAAAGTCTTAATTTTCCTTTTTTTTAATTCACGGTTCTCTGTTCTATTTCAGTAGATTGAAAGCAAACCAGCAAGAGAAAGGCGTACGTGGGGGTCTCGCGGAAAAGCCGCCAATCGGCCGCCGCGACAACATCAAGAAACCCACGAGCCTACGAAGTTGATGTTTTCTTCTGTTTTCAATATTGTTAAAGAAAATCTCTTAAAAAGTTTTTTTTCTTCTCTTTTACTTAATCTAGTTTGCAACAAATATTACAAGTCCAACGAATACACATACGATGCTGTGCATTCGTTGCAGTTGCATGAAACATTGCGTAAATTCGATATATCAAACTTGAAACTACTTTTTAAGAGATACTTTTATGCGAATTATCGCACTGTAATAATAGTTGTATATTTATACATATTAAAAATAATTTTGATACAAACGCATAACAAATTGCCGCATCGATTTTACATTAAATTATAAAGAAAAGCCAATAAAAATAAATATAAAAAATTGTAAATGAATTTTGTAGCATGAGAATATTTAATGTATATTCGCTGGTATAAACAGCTTTGATAATATTATCTATAAATCACAGCTCCACGTGAAAATGTTTATAATGATTTCATTATAACTTTCAATAAATTGCTTTTTTTACTTGCTATTGGTACGTCAAGAAAAGTCATCGAAATGTAAACAACTTTACTTTTGAAATTGTTAAAATAATACTTCCGTTATCTTGAAAATAAATAAATTTGGCATGTGTTTGCAAATTTGTCGATAAACTTGTTATTTGTATTGTCGATATACTAATAAAAGAATGAAAATAGAAAAGCAATGAAATAGGGATTTTGAAATCATGAAACAAAGAAAATTTTGTCATTTTCACTATTTTTATTATTTATCGCCTAATATAATTAAAAAAAATCATAATATGATATCTTGTATCATATACAATTATTCATAATATACTTATATATTTACAATTGTATGTACAGAGTTTTAAATTATATATAATCAGTTTATACAGGATTCATGGAATAATTGTATATAATTTGGTATATAAACATTTTCACGTGGAAGTAGGCCTTACTTCCTCAACATTTTTTTTGTCTTTTTATCATATTCTATATCTTTCGTTTATGCTTTCAAAGATAGATCGTTCTTAAATTGTGTCTCATTTGTTTTTTTTTTGTTTTTATTACTCGTTCCTCTCCTCTAGAAAGGAATAGTACTCCTGTCCTTCGCTGGCTCGTGTAGTGAATATTTGAGATTGATCAACCGAAGGGCGGCGTCGACAGCGGCTCTTGGCTCGGTACCCCCACGTGCATACTCTCTTGTGAGCAAAATTGTGCAATAAGCAAAAATCTCTCTCGACATAAGCCGGATTCTGTTTTTTCGTGCTCTTTGCTTATTTTTTCTCGTTTTTGCTATATGCCGGGCGAGCGTGTGTCTCAGTGTGTCTCGGGGCCTCGTTCATCCATCCGTCCATCTCTCTAAGCTATCCTACGGGGGTAGTTATAGTCTGCGTTAGCTTTATGCTACTTTTTTTTCACACGAGTTTTTTTTATGTTAGTAGAGAAGTTGTTATTGTGCGACGCGCCAAATTATCGTTTTATTTATCTTACGCCAAAATAAAATTAAAAAAAAACAACAATTTTGGAGGTTTTCCGTGTTAGAGGAAACCGAGACGCGCTACTGGCTTTATCTTTGCTATCGCCGCCGATTCACATAAGAGATTGAATGCTTCTGATTGTTTATCTGAATATTTTTCTTGTGCAAATCGCAATTCTTGCGGGTTCGTTATGAAATATTGGAAAATTGAACGGAAACATTTCAATCTATTTGTGTCGCGATGTCCGAGAGATTCGAGCAGAGTTGTTTTTGGATCTGGACATGCCAGACTTTTATATGTTTATCAAATTTGATGCCTCCATGCATGAAAATGCGTAGAAATGCTTGCTCTGCACGTCAATAGAGAGAAAATGTTTATGCGAAAGAAGTTTTCATTGACAAAGTAACAAGTGAACATTGCATGGAATGATATCGAAACCGATGCACAAACATTTCGTGTTGATATCTGAGGATGGCGAGCTACGAGAAAGGGACAGTCGGAAGCTGGTTTCTCGTAGCATCGTCATCCAGGCGTGTACGACAAACTAAATAAAGGAGAAAGCAGATGATACTCACATATGTGCCATCGGCGTCATGACCGACTGATGCTGTAGCGAATCGGGCGACGGTCCAGGCGAGTAAACGTGCTGGGTGTGCTGCATGACGGCCTGCTCGCCGCCCATGTACATGGAAATCATCTGCTGAAGCTCGCCCTGCTGCTGCTGCTGCTGCTGTTGCTGCTGCTGAGCCATGCTACTGTATTCCCGCTTGACCGGTGGCGGGGCACCACTCGGCGTCGGCGTGTGAATGCCCGCGGAGGCAGGCGATGTGGGCTCGCTCTTGATGCTGCTGCCCGACGGGCTGTGGCTGGACATTTGCGAGCCGGGTTGTGTCTGGTGGTAGGGCGACGGCGAGCCGCCGGGCACCGTCGTCCCCGTGTAGCCGCCGTAGCCATTGATGTAACTGTTGATCGGCGACGGCGAACCGCCACCGAGGTGGTGGCCCATGTCGTACCTCGGGTAGGCACTCGTCGCGTTGATGTGGCTGCTGTAGTGTTGCTGATAAGCCGCCGTCGTGGGGTCGTGCATCATCGAGTAGCCGTTGGGCATGTAGCCGCTGGGCATCTGATAAACTTCGCGGCTGAGCTGCGACTGCTGTGGACCCCCTGGCGTCGAGCCCACCTGGCCGCGCTGGTCGACGCCCAGCATGCTACCGACCCCGGCCACGCCACCCGCGCCCAGCGGAAATTTGTCCTTCTTCAGCAGAGTCTTGGTCTTGCGCCGCGGCCTGTACTTGTAATCGGGATGCTCCTTCATGTGGACGGCGCGCAGCCGCTTCGCCTCGTCGATGAACGGCCGCTTCTCCGCCTCGCTGAGCAGCTTCCACTCAGCGCCGAGCCGCTTGCTGATTTCGCTGTTGTGCATCTTGGGGTTCTCCTGGGCCATCTTCCGGCGCTGTCCGCGCGACCAAACCATGAACGCGTTCATCGGCCTCTTCACTCGGTCGATGTTGTTGTTCTTGCTCGTGCTATTGTTGTTGTTCGGTGCCTGCTGATGGCCTTGCTGCTGCTGCTGCTGCTGCTGATGGTGGTGCTGCTGCACGCTCTGCTGCTGCTGCTGCTGCAGCGAGTGCATGCTCTGCTGCTGACTGTGTACCTGTTGCTGGGTCTGCTGCTGCTGAGCCGCCTGCATCGACGCGTAGTGATGCTGCGGCGGCTGGTGATGGTGGGGCAGATTCAGCGCAGCGAGGCCGCTCGACGGCGGGCTGCCCGACAGCGCGGGACTGTGCACCAGCGAGCCGAGGGCTCCGTACGCCGAGACGGCGTGTGTCGGGTGGCCCATCGGCGCGACACCCTGGTGTGAGTGCGGCGGCATCTGGCCGTGCAGACTGCCACCCTTCAGCTCCGACTCCGCGGTCATCAACATCTCCTCCTCCCTGTGCCCGTACAGTTTGGCTGCTTTTTATTAAGACACTTGCGAGCCAAGCCAACACTCTCCGCCGCGACAATGAGTGCAATTGTCGCTGCTACACGGCCTGTCGGCTGACGGTGACTGCTGCTGCTGCTGCTGCTGCTGCTGCTGCACCTACCGCTACGCGCTGTGACGCGCACGAAAAGACACCCTGACTGCAGTCATTAATGCGACAATGTCTCTGACGATGATCGCGCACTGAATCACGTGTCGTTGTTTACAATAGACAATGTCGATTGACCTGCGGCTGCTCAGGCAAAACGCACACTTGAACACACTTGCTGCTGTTTGGGCGTCGAAAAAGGCGACGAGTGCAGCTGAGCGCTCCACGTCAAGCACCTCCACTCTCGGCAAACGAGCGACAACGTCTGAGCTACAACCGGAGCGCCTACCGCCGAGCCGAGGCTTCTCTCTCGCTCGCTCGCTCGCTCGCTCGCTCGGCTCCCCCCCCACTCTGCGCTCGTGAGCGCGCGCGCTGGCATACACAGCCGCCGTCTCTCCCCCCACCGACAGCACTACAAGCCGTACCCTCGAGCGCTAGTCAGATTGGCCGAATGCGCCTGCCATCATTCCATTCGACCAATGGTTGCGAGGCTGCGGGGCGGCGACTGCAAACACGTCACCGCCAGAGCATAGGTGGTGGTAGTGCTGCTGCGCCGGCGCCCGCTGGCCGGCTACCCGGCCGACACGAGCTCCGCTCGCTCGCTTCTTCTATTTTACTGCCGAGCGCGCGACAGCAGCGGCGCGGAGATTGTTTCAAGGTTTTCCCGCGGATCGCCAATTCTGCGCCCGAGTTTCTCCTCTCGTTTCGCGCGGCCGGGCCGTCGGGTAGCTGCTCGTCGGCCCGCGCGGCTGCACACGGCACCGGGCTGCGCGAAAGACAGGGCCCGCGCGACTTCCGACCAGTGCGGACTTGCTCGTGCCCAGCCATTGTAGCCGAGCAGTATTTTTTTGTTCTCATTCTCTCTCTCTCTCTCTCTCTCTCTCTCTCCTCGTCGAACGGTAGTCCGTCCGCTCGGCTCTGCCGGAAACAAGCGCGCGTCTGCGTCAAATCAGGAATGCACGAGTTGCTCCTAAGTTTTCGGTAATCTCGGCGATGAAGCGTAGATAAGACGCATTGTACGCGCCAACTTTGCTGTTTCGTACACAGCCATCGCGAGGCTTGCGCCACGCGTGCTGCCGAACCAAAGGAAACTAATGACTATTTGATTTGGAAATTCGGTTCACGGCCGTCGCACAGCCGCACTTATACGTAAGTTAGCCGAGACGAGCCGTGTGGCTCTAAAAATTCAATCGGTCGAATGCCAAATGAAGAATCGCGTGGAACGAAGGCGAACGGCACGTGGACGTCACACGCGCTTATCTGCAGTTATGCATCAGGCCATAAAGTTATTATCGGATATGTTAATTTGGACACCAACATTGTCATTCGCGCGCTCTACAATGCGCTCAAGTTCAGAACCACGAAATCTCGACTGCGAAAACCAGAATGGAACAATCGCGACCCTCGAAAAGAAGAAAAGAAAGAAAAAGCGCATAATGTATCTGACGTACTCCTTCGCCATCGTCACGCTCGGTTTAGTTTTGCGTTGATGGGCATGTATAGGACCTGTTGCGGGTTCTCTCCTGTGCAATAATGGAAGAATGCGTCATAGATAATCATAGAGCAATAGAGAGAGAGAGAGAGAGAGAGAGAGAGGAAAGCCCCCGTGCCTGCAGCCGATTGTCGTTCTCTGGCTCTTGTAATATATATAGAAAAGAGAATCGCGACAATGAGAGCGCACGCCACGGCCGAGCCAGCCGCGCCAACTTTCTGGGGAGGGGCTTGTTGTGGTGTGTGCGTGCGCGCGCGCGTGTATCCCGCGCGGCAAGTCTCCGGCGCTGCGAAAGGAGGAGAGTGCGCGGCGGGCCGTTGGACTCGAGCGCCATCTGGCGCTCGAAACGCACTTCTCCGGGAGAGGAACTGCAGATGCGCGTACATGTGTGCCGCGCGCGCGAGCGGCGACCACGCCGAGGAGAATGGCCGCGACTTCTGGCGCGTCGTTCCTCGAGGCGCCTGCCCACTTCCAGCTGCGTCGGATGCACTCGCGCGACGCCGGCCAAGACGAACGAACTGAAATTGATAACGCGCGCTGAAACCTAATCACAGCGCGGCGAATATGTCGATATCATCTCGCGATGATAAGTCATTTCACGCGCCGCGGTCGCGCTTCGGAAATGGACAAGAGCGCCGTGGGCCACGCGCGGCCAGCGCAAAGGCACGCTTTTCTAATTAACCCGAACAATAAAACAATAACGGTTCGCATCGACTGCATCACGCAAACGAAATCAGCAGTCGCCCACCAGAGGTTGCAAAAAAAATAGAAAGGTGAGGCACTGCTTTCCGCTCCCGACTAATTACGTAAGCTCGGACAGCGTTTGGACGAGGGGCCGTTCGGCGCGAGCGCTCAGTCGTGACGAGTGCCATAACTGGACGTCGTAAATTACCGAATGCTGGACGGTAACTTTTGGGGATTGTTATTCCAGAATTATTGTCGACAGGGATGCCAGGTATAAATTATGACGGACCGACGTCTGACCCAGTGCTCCCGCGCTCAATTTTAACATTTTAGGATGACTCCGTGTCATTCCTATCTTAGAGATTTTTCTTTTAACAGAATCGAGAAAACGGGATATCCGACCGTGTTGCTCGTCAAAGTTCAAGCCTGTCGCTAAGCGAATACAGATGAGTGGAGTCGATTGTGAGCGTCGATGCATTGCGTTGTTGAATTTCCAACAGCACCACCGGCGGATTGACAAGATGGCGGCTGGCGGGCAAGTAGCTCTCGAAGACGCGCTGCCCTCGTAAAAGGGCAGCATTCGGCCGCTCTGTTATTAATCGTGACGAGAACCGTCGCGCCAACGTGTCTGGCACCAGTTTACAGGTGAGCGCTCGATATTCTAGCGTAGCTGCAGCCGGCAAGCTAAATCGATTCTTGACGGTCAGACGGAAGAGGATCCGTCGGCAAACAAATCCGGCTACGGAGTCGACCCAATTGGCAGTTCCTCGGCAGCGGCGGGCTAAACGCGCCACAAGTGGCACATAAGCAGCACAGCGATAAGTGAGTGGATTGATAGGCCTGGAAAAGAGCGTGCAGTCATCTGTTCACGTGTATACGCATGCAGAGTACGGCAGAGAGAGAAAGTGCGCGCACAATGCCATTGTCATTCAAATCGCGCGCGAGCGGCAAGGGCTGCGCGAGATAAGGAAGCAGAAAATAAACATTTTCCTTGGATCGCCGCGCTCTCGCCTCCTAATTGAGGCGCATCGCGAGAAAATGAAATCGATAAATAAGCATGACTGTGCAGCGAAGAAGGAAGGCGAGGACCAAATTTATGAGGCCAGCGAGATAAGGTGGTCGCGTGAAAAATACACGGACGATGGCGAGGCAGTAAATTTTTTGGCGGAAAAACAAGATAAAACGGCGCCGCTGCAAGTTCGAGCGTGAAAAACCCTCGCGTGCGTCATCGCGGAGAAAGAGAAGTGAATCACCGCTAGATAAGAATGGCGAAGCTCCTTTTCGGCAGGAGCGAGCTGCCGGCCAGCGACACGCGATCGAATTAAAAGTAATAAAGAGGGAGGTAGCGAAAGAGAGAGAGAGAGAGAGAGAGAGAGAGAGAGAGAGAGAGAGGAGTGCGAGAGCAATCGACGAGTGCATAGTCAACAGGTGATCCTCCATTGTCGTTCGCGACTGCTTTTGCTATCTTTCTCTTCGACGCCTGGGTAATAATGGAGACCTGACACACAAAAGGAGAGACGACAAATAATGCACGCCAAGCAAAACTCCGCCACTACTCTTGGAAGAAATCGAAACTAGCGCCCACGAAGAAAGCGAGAGTCGATTCTCCTCGCTTTTTTCCGAGAGACCAACAAGCAATGTAGACAACCTACTCCCTATCGTGGCTAATGATCTTTAAGCGACGAGGCAATAATGCCACGTACGCCCTATTAGTGTTTGTTTTCAATTCGATGAAGAGCCTATAAGCATTACTGGCGGTCTTTCGTGCCAATTTCGTTATTTACCATATACTCAACCGATTTAATTCGCATGTGACCTTTTCATTTATTGCGATGCCATTTCTGAGTGTACTAGACACGCTACGTCACGCTAAGGCATTCCTTTTGTTATGTTTTTTTCGCGAGACTTTGTAATCGTATCACGATTATTAGGCACGACAGCCTTTTTCATAGCGCGTAAAGTGCGTATAACCGGATTACAGCATCAGCAGCGCAGTTCAATGTGTATTGTTAGCTAACAATGATGCGCCATTGTCCTCGTCTATGTACATATATACTATATATATATACACACACACACACACACACACGCACACACACACACAAAACCTTTGGTTGTTTTTTCAGTGTGTGTTTGCATACTCGCGATGAACGAACATTTTATCAGGTGAATTTCGATGATCGATAGTTTGATTTTTCGGGATAACTATTTTAGATGGACTGATCGAGCGAGTTTTATTTTTTACCGCGGAAAAATTGATCGATGCAGCAAATAATGTAATCAATTGGAGACAGCAATAGGTCTAAGAATGTTTCCATTATCCACGGATAGCCACAAGTACATAATCGAATGTTCTTTGAACATAAACAGTTTATTGGTAAAATTCAATAGACGAATGCTGAGATTCAATTGCGTCTATTCAAATCTAAATGTATTAAGTAGCAATGAGCTCATTAACTTGAAAACCAAAGCAAAGATATTATAAGTATCGTAATGGACTTTGATGCTTGAAACCGCAACATTTTGATCTTTTATACATCTGACTTTGGACAAGTGGTGAAGTAACAATAGCGACTACTCGTAATCATTGTCGAAGTAACGGAGGTGCAGTGGATGCAAAGACAATTCCTGACTTGCCTAGAATGCACTAGACGGTCAAGAAAGTCCGTCGGCTCACTGAGCTCGATTGCCAGGAAGTTTTCTCTCGGCGGGATGGAGAAAAGGGGCGGAGCTTAGGACTAAGCAATTAGCCAGTCAGAAAATCACGCGCTTGATTTACGATAAGCAATAAGGCGAAGGCTGTAAACGATCCGTTTGGGTCAACGGTCTACGACCACTTTCTCTCTCTCTGCTTGCCGTCTCCGCCCGGAACGCACAACTACTATGACCTCTGGATGCACCGGGAATATTTATGCGAGAAACGTGCTTGGGTCATTCGATGTTCGAACGTCAATTAACGGCATTTTCAAAATTAAAGTGTAGCTCTGACAACGGTATCCTTCCGCTGAGAATTTGACATCGTCGCATCAGCGTCAGCCATCAGTCGACCCGGTCTTTTCCGATCCATCGCTTTCGCACGTGTTCGAGAAGCCATCGCGCGCCAATTGAAAACGACCAATTAGTTTCGATCTGCAATTAGATCAACGTGGCGTGCTCC